AGAGAGAATATGAATGATTTATTGTAGAAATTGGCTCACGCCGTTATGGAGGCCGAGCAGTTCCATGACTGCTGTCTGTCTGCAGCTGGAAAGCCGGTGGGGGAATTCAGTCCTCACGTGAAGACCGAGCGTGGGCACTGATGGTGTGGGCCTGAGTTCCAAAGCCCAGGAACCGTGAGCACCTCCGTGAGAGGTCAGGGGGAAATGGATGTCTGGGGAGAGAGCAGAACTCACCTTCCGCAGCCTTTCTGTTCGGGCAGGCCCTCGGCGATTAACTGGGTGATGCCCATCTACACTGAGGAAGGCCATCTGCTTTACCCTACCCACCAATTCAAATCTCTCCCAGAAACACCTTCACAGACACACACAGAAATAATGTTCTACCAGCTTCCTGGGCATCCTTAACCCAGTTAAATAGACACCTAAAATTAATCATCACCCTGAGAACATCCTTCCCCTGGCTAATCAAGCTCTTTGCTCTCATATCTTATTGTGCCCTTTAAATTTTTTTCTTCATTTAGTTATCAGTTCATAGTTTATCTTTATCTTTTATATTTATATTTATTTTCAGATTTCCCCACTGGACTAAAAAAGCTCTGTGGCAACTGAACTCTTTCATTCCTTGCTATCATAAGCACCATGCCTGGCACATAGTAGGTGTGCAATAAATATCTGTGGATGAAATCAATAACTGAGTAAATAGGAAACTTCAGTGGCAGATCAAGACAAGGTGAGGTGATAGATACAGAATAATTCAGTGAGGACTGTCCATCCACATTTTCTCAACTTGTTACACATGATTTCTCTAAATCTCTTATTTTTCCTTTTGCATTCTTCAGAGACATAGCAACATGAGATACAGGCCCCACTGCTCAGCTCACATACCTGCTGCAGCTGAACCTTCAGAGCATCAAAGACCTGGGCCCAGAAAGGATTCCCTCTGGTGGCTCAACAGTCTCTCCCCGCGGGTGGGCTCTGTTTGTGCTGTTCCAGCTCAGGGAGGTGCAGTAGGATGGTGGGTGAGGGCCTCCCTACCCACCAGGAGGTTTTATGAATCTTCCAGAGGAGAAGCCATAAGTGATTGCTGAACATGGACCAGGAAAGAAACTGTGGGAACATAGTTCTTCATATTCACCAGGTTCTTCATAGTCAGCCTATCATCCAGATAGCTGCACACTTCATGATCAGTGTCCAGAATCAAGGATTCTATCCCAAATGTCAGGAGGGTAGTGTTATTTTTGTCTTTACATAGACAGAGACTACAAATCCCCACATTCCAGAAGAGACATAAATGTGACATGCTCAAAGTTACATGGAAAGGTCTAAAGAGGCCCGGCTGGTGTGGCTCAGTGGATTAAGTGTCATCCCATGGACCAAGAGGTCCTGGGTTCTATTCCCATTCTGGGCACATGCCCAGCTTGCAGGCTGGATCCCCAGTTGGGGGCATGCAGGAGGCAGCCAATTGATGTTGTCTACAAATCAATAAAAACATATTTTAAAAAACAAGAAAGATCTAAAGAGTATGAAAGAGCAGGCCTCCTGGTGGATGGGCCTTGGACTCCCAGGACATCTTCAGGCACCTGGTTGCATTCATGCTGTTCCTTTTGGGGGGAAAAAAAAGTCATTTTGTTTTAATGACCATAATGGCAAGAGTCAGCACCCCTCGGAATCCACATGAGAGAAGGGGCCTGGAGGCCGGGGCTACCATGGAAAGAGCAATGCAGCAGGTGTTGGGGCAGAGCTGCCTCCGACTGCCAGACCATGCGTTTTCTTCTGCCACAGAAACCGGGGGGCTTGTGGGATGAGTCTCTTCTGCAGAGCAGTAGCCTGACCAATACCCGCCCCTAGCCTTCCATGAAATGGCATATCTTCCACACCACACTGCTAGCACTCCTTACTCTGTACTAAGTCACGAAGATAGCAAGGCCAAAATTCTTGAATGAATCTACTCTAGGTCCTGGGAAAGAAATGAGTAAGAACCAATTGCACTGGGAGGGAAGTGTCCCAGGAACCAGCAGCCTGGGCAAGCACGAAGCCGTGGAGGATGGAGGGTCCTGGGGCCACCGAGGGGAACGTGATGCAGGGACTATTTAAAAGATGTGGGACAGTGTTGGCACAACCGGACATTCACATGCAAAAGAATGAAGGTGTGCCCCTTCCTTATACCATACACAGAAGTTAACTCAAAATGGATCAGTTAACCCAAATGTAGAGCTAAATGTAAAGGCGAAAACGATGAGTCTCAGGAGAGAACAGGAGTATACCTTGGTGACCTGGCATTAGGCAAAGCCTTCTAATATTCAACACCAAACACACAAGCAACAAAAGGAAAAATAAATAAACTAGACTTCATCAACGTTAAAAACTTCTGTGCTGCAAACAGTATGATCAAGAAAGTGAAAAGACAGCTCACAGAATGGGAGGGGATATTTGCAAATTGTAATCTGATAAGAGAGTGGTACCATAATATATAATGAACTCTTACAACTCAGTAATAAAAAGATAACACAATTTAAAAATATACAAAGGATCGAATAGACATTTCTCCAAGGAAGATACACAAGTGGCTAATAAGCACAGGAAAAAATGCTAAATATCATTAGCCATTAATTAAATGAAAATCAAAGTCACAATGAGATACCGCTTCACATGCACAAATAAGATGGGTACAAATTTAAAATAATAACAGAAAGGACGTGGAGCTTTCTGAAGCCAAGATCCCAGAATGAAGAGAGGCAGGAGAGGGCCCTAGTTGGTTTGGTTCAGTGGACAGAGCATCAGCCTGCAGACTGAAGGGTCCCAGGTTCAATTCCAGTAAAGGACACATGTCCAGGTTGCAGGCTCAATCCCCAGTGGGGGTGGGGGTGTGTGCAAAAAGCAGCTGACCAATGATTCTCTCTCATCATTGATGTTTCTATCTCTCTCCCTCTCCTTTCCTCTAAAATCAATAAAAATATTTTTTAAAAAAAAAAAAAAGAGAGAGAGAGAAAGGCAGGAGAGGGGAGCCTGCCATGAGCTCCACTTCTCCCCTCAGGCATTTTCCAAGATATGACCAAGAGGCTGAGAAGCTAAGGAGAGTGTTTGGAGCTGGGGAGACAAAACTGGGGTTTAGGAGAGGCCATATGAAACACCCCGGGTTTGATTAGGACTCCTGAAAGCCTCCCTCTAGGATTAAAGAAAATGGAAATAAGCCAACTTTCACAATTACAGAAACCCAGCTTCTAATTAGCTCAAATCCAGATTGGATAAAGTAATCTACCTCTAGCCCATCTTCCTGCCTGAATCAGAGGACATGATTGTGGAAGTAAGAACAACAAAGAAAACAAGAAACAGGTAAACCATCAGAATTAGTAAGTGAAGTATCTGGATAAAAGGCCAAGGTACAAAAGCCAATTGTATTTCTATATATCAGTAAGAAAATATTTTTAAATAAAATATTTATAACTGTACCATTTATAATAGCATTAAAAAAATCAAATGTCTGGGAATGAATCCATCAAAAGATATATAAGACCTCTACACAGAAAACTATAAATTATTACCGAGTGTAATTAGACAAGACTTAAACAAATGGAGGGGAGCATCCTAAGTTGGAAGACTCAGTACTGTAAAGATATCAGTCCCTCTGCCCCAACTTGACCTATAGATTCAATTTATTCCCAATGAAAAGCCCAACAGGTTTTTTTCTTCCCCTGAAGAAATTGACAAGCTAAATCTAACATTTACCAAAAAATGCAAATGACCAAGAAAAGGCAGTATAATCTTAAAGAACAAAATGAAAAGACTTCTATAGCAAGACATCAAGACTGAGTATAAAGCTGTCATAATTATAACAATGTAACATTGGTCCAGAAACAAACCTTCATATAGTCACTTCATTTAGGATGGAATTGCAATGCAAATGGCCTTTTCAGTAAGTGGTGCTGGGCCGACTGGAAATCTACCTGGAGGACAAAATGAATCTTGACCCTTACCTCATCCCATACACAAAAAATCAATTCCAGATGGATTGCCAATCTAAATATGAAATGTAAAGCAATAAAGCTCCTAGGAGAAACATAGGAGAACACCTTCACAACCTTGGGCTTTGTCAAAATGAACAATTTCTGTTATTAACACATCCAATAATGGGTTGAATTCATAATACATACAAACTTCTACAACTCCATTAGGAAAGGACGAGAATCCTAGGAGAAACATAGAAAGTTGGCTTATTTCCATGTTCTTTAATCCTACAGGGAGGCTTTAAACATAGAACATCTTCACAAACTTGGGCTTCGTCAAAATGAACAATTTCTGTTATTAACTCATCCAATAATGGGTTGAATTCACAATACATACAAACTTCTACAACTCCATTAGGAAAGGACAGATAATCCAATTTTATGGGTGAAATGTAAAGAGACAAAATAAAAGAGACCATCAAAATGGTTAATAAACATATGAAAAAAACTGCTCAACATCATTAGTTGTCACTTGCACATAAAATTACAGTGAGATAATCACTAACAGCCTCCATAGTGGCTAAAATTAAAAAGACTGACAGTACCAACTGTTGGCAAGGATATGGAACATCTGCAACTTTCATGCACTGCTGGGGGAGTATAAACTGCTACACCCTTTTGGCAAAATATCCTTAAACTGAACATCTGTGTATTCTGCCTGAGCAACTCCACGTCTACAAATATACATAATGGATAAATGTACAGGTGTTCACCAAAAGACATGTGTAAGAGTGTCACAGAGCACCATTCATAGTGGCCAAAGCCTGGAAACAGCTCAAATGTCCATTATCAGGAGAATGACTAAAACTATATATATTCATACAGTAGAAAACTGGTATATGAAAATGAAAATAAACTACAACCACATGCAAAAGTACGGAGGACTGTCACAGATGTAACCCTGAGAGAAAGAAGCCGGTCACAAAAGAGACTGTAATGCTCCCATTTTTATAAAGTTCATAAAAGGCAAAACAAATCTAGTGTTAGAAATCAGATTTAGAGTTACCTTTGTTGAGGGAGCTGATGATTGAAGGACGAACCAGAGGTGGCTCTGAAGCATGCCAATGTTTTATGCTGTGTTCATCCTGTGAAAATTCATTTTGCTCTACAGGGATTTGGCTCTTTTCTGTACATATGTTATACCCAAAGCCTTCGTTTATTTGTTTGTTTGTTTATCCTCACTGGAGGATGTTTTCATTGATTTTTCAAGAGATAGAGGAAGGGAGAGAGAGAAGCATAAATGTGAGAAATATTGATCAGTTGCCTCCAGTACATGCCCCAACTGG